GAAAATAAGTTGCATAAATATTCTCAACATTTCTGATTTTTCCATAGCAACCACAGGAGAAGGATTTGAGACTATTTGTGTAAAATAAGTAGGTTTTAGATCATTACAACACCGTCACATACTTTCAATGGAAGTTTCTTTGTATATATACTGGGTATTAAGCAGTTGAGAGTATGTATTTAGGAGGTTTAAAGTGATATTGTAAACTAGTAAAAATTTCAAATCCTGATAACATCCCATACTGTGTGTGGGGGACCTAGATAGGATGTCCTAAGGATATAGGATGTGACATGAAAGCACTCAGGAGGATGAGTTTAGGAAGGAAAACTGGGATATTACGGGATGTCCTGTGGATGTAGTAAGTAGACTTTAATCTTAATAAATCCCATATCTGTCGATGGAATAGATGAGTTTTAGGAATAATGGGATGTGTTTAGGAGGTTAGTGGGATCACGGATGTCCTGGATGTAGAAGTAGAAGTCATACCCCAAAATCCGTACGCTTCATGGGACTTAGTAGGCGCTAGAGTACTGGGAGTGGCATTAGCCTTTGCAGCATGGTGGGTCAATATATGTCCCACCTAATTAATATTTATTTTCTCAGTTAGCAATTTCCGTTAGAAATTTTCTAATCTTTTAAAAAATAATCTATTTTAGTTATTATTTTTCTCAGTAGATGTTACTACTACTATACCAGGGCTTAAGTTTATAAGCAAAAAATATTCAAAATAGGATCACAAGAGTGATATCCATGTATCTCGCATTTTTCAATATTTTAAAAATTTTGGTATACAATTTATGATATGTATGATTCTTTTTAATATTCAAAGGTATTTTCAAAAATCTTAATTGGATTCAATATTTGATAACATTAATTTTGCAGTTGAAATAAGTGGGTTAAAATTTGTCCCACCACACACTTGAATTTCCGCTCAATAGATGGCAGCACTCACGATTATTTTTTTCTTTTCTTTTTTGCATCTACTTTTTTCGTGATTGCGCGCGCTTTTACATCCGTTGTATGCTCTGATGTGCTAAAATGTCTAGAAAAAAATTAACAACTCAGGAAGCTTTGGATCTTTTTGCTGAATTGCCATCCGATTGCGACTCAAATGCTTCAGATGTCAGTTCTGATTCAGATGAAATTGAAATCCAGGAGAGAATAACTGAGGTTGAAGTTATTGCTGAAGAAGAAAGGGAAGTAGTAGTTATAATTTGTTTCGCTTTTTAAAGACACAGACCCATCTATGCATGTGGCTGCATTATGCATGGGCACTGTAAATATGAATCGGAAGTATCTACCCAACAAATTTATGTCAAGAGAATATATATAGACTTTTCAGTTAGCGATGATTCAATTTATTGCATAAAATGGAAGGATAAAAGATCCGTTTCTATCCTGTCTTGCTTGGAAAAGGCAACTGAAATGAAAGAAATTAATAGAAAAGAACGAGATGGAAAGACAAAAAAAAAAAAAAAAAAAGTACTGTGCCCAAACAGCATTATTTCATACAATAAGAATATGGGATATGTCGACTGATTGATCAACTGAAAGGACTATATGAAATAGACCGCAAAAGCAAGAAATGGTGGCACATGATTTTTTTTTTTTTTTTTTTTACTTTTTAGATGCGAGTATAGTAAACACATTTATTCTATTTAAGTTTGTTCGCGAACCCGATCATGATGTAAAAACAATGAAAGATTTTCTTCTCTCAGTTATAGAAGGTCTAATGGCACTTGCAGGCAAGAAAGAGCTGAAAAGAAAACTGAAATCCCCAGTTCAAATAAAAACTAAAAACCCGTTCGTACAACCAGAAAAGAGACTAAAAAATGTAAGTAAAACGCCAAAGAGAACGAGCAGGAGAAGATGTGCATATTGCAGCACATCGAAAGAAGAACGACGAACATTTTGGATGTGTGAAACATGTGAAGTGCCTCTATGCTTACAAAAGAATGAAACAACATGTTTTTCAAAGTTTCATGAAAAATGACTTTTTTTCAATTTTAATCATATATAAAATGTTTTTGAATCAAGTGCCAATTTTAATATTTTATTTAGTATCATATGTACGAGTATCAAATTTTAATCTTAAAATAATATTCAAGAAAATATTTTCTTTTGTTCCTAAAATTTAAAAATATTAAATATATATATGCAAAATGTGCATATGCAAAATTTTACAAGTCATGCATATATGCAATAAGTACAAAATGCATTTTAGTGTGTTTATTATGAATATTTTAGAATGCACGCTTTATTTTGTTTATTCATTCCACATATGATTTTTTTTCCCTGCTATACACCAATATGCTATAAGACATGTGCTAGTTGCATGGTGGGACAAACGGTATCCCACCTTCCACCGTAAAAAATAAAAGCGCAGAATTTTTTTCAAGCCTTAAAGGCACTTAAGTAAGTCTATCTGACTTATTCTAAGGCATTTTTTTAAAGATTAAAATATATTTTAAATATGCGTGTCGCAAAGGGTTAAGCACTCAGGAGGAGGTGTTTAGGAGGTTTGCGGGATATTCCGGGATGTCCTGAGGATGTGTGCATATCACACAAGCAACATCCTCGGGATATCCCAAGGATGTTTTTGTGCTATGGGGGCCCTTTTTTGTTGCAACTGGCCGTACCAAACATATATATATGAAACAGTTCACTGAACCAGGTAAGGAAGAGGATAGGTATCTATTCACTCTCTTGCACAGCTCGATAAGCTCTTTTTCTTTTCCTCTTGGATGCTTGTAAATTGTGTATTTTTTCTTTATGGGCGATTGAATTATGTTATTCTTATGATCTGGTTAAGGTTTCTGTGCCTTTGGTTAAACTGCATAAAACAGTCATGGAATTATTTTCCTAACATATGCCTCACATTCCTCAATGCGACCTCTTTTAGTTTGACCAATGTAAATTAACCACAATGGCAAGGGATCCTGTAAATACCCCAGGAATTCATATCTGGAATGGGATTCTTGAGTATGAATCTCAGAATTTTATCGATAGGAGAATATATGGTCCAAAAGTTAAATTTCTGTAAAATCCTTGCAATTTTATAGCTCATTGATGGAAAGAAAATAATGACAACAGAATTTTTATAATTCCCTAAAACTAGAGTGTGCCTTCAATGAATTGAGGTGAGAATTTTTTAACTGCTTGGTTAATAATGTTGGGTGAAAAGCCCTTGTCAATTGCTATTGTTCTTAAATAATTTAGTTTTTTGATCAAGACCCAATTTGGAGGAGCAAACTTGAAGTGCACGGATGACAGAGGAATAAAATGAAGCTAACTTTTCTTTAGTCAGATGGCATGATTTAAAGTGTGGTTGGAGATAAACCGATGAAGGTTTACAGTAAACCATAGTACTGAAGTTTGATGTGTTATATGTGAGCACAATGTCGAGGAACAGAAGAGAATCGCATGTCTCAAGTTCAAAAGTGAACTGAATAGCAGGATCAATAGAATTCATTATTGAAAGAACTTCATTTTGATCATCTTTATTACCCTCAAACAGGGTAAAAGTATCGTCAACATAGGAAAACCATAGCAGGAAGTTTAAAAGTTTCAAATAATTTTGATTCATAATAATGCGTGTAGATATCAGCCAGAATCAGAATAAGTGGGATTGCTTTTCACCTAACAATATTAACAAAGCACTTAAAAAATTCTCATCTCAGCTCACCAAAAGGCACATTCTTGTTTTAGGAGATTATAAGAATTATGTTGTCATTCCTCTCTTTCCATCAATTAGCTACGAAATTGCAAGTATTTTACAGAAATTTAACTTTAAGGTCATTCATTCTCCTATCAAAAAATTCTGAGTTTCATACTTAAGGACACCATTCCAGATATTAATTCCTGGGGTATTTACTGGATTCCTTGCCAGTATGGTTTAATTTATATTGGTCAAACTAAGACAGCCTTAAAATTTTGCATTAAAGAACATAAGGCATATGCTAAGAAAAAGGCAACACAGAAGTCCTCTGTTGCCCAGCACTGTTGGTCTGAAAATAACACTTTTCATTTTTCTGCAATCAAAATCATTCAAAAAACATCTTCCATTGCTGAATTAGATTTTCTAGAGGCATTTCACATTCAAAAAAATCTTTCTGTTCTAGTTAACAGCCCTAATTTCAATTCATCTTGACCTTCAGCCTTTAAGGAAATTATGTTTTAGTTTTCTTGTTTCATCAATAGATGGTGTCAGTAGCTTAACTCCTGTATCACTATATCTGATCTCATTCATTTGCACTTTGGCAGCTGAGGATGGTCCTTCAATTAAACCATCGAAACTAGTCCTGTGAAAATTTACAAATATAACGCTGATTTTTGTTGTTTGACTTCTAAATTAATATTTGTCCGGTGTGTTATTTTACCTTAATCTTTAAACTTATTAGGTAATATTTTAAAGAAAAAGCTTTGGGGCAGTTTATTTCCCTTAACTGTCTCATCACGAATAAAAAAGCTAATGATATATTACAAAGAGCAGCTGATACTGCACCACAAAGGTGGAGAGAGACAACATATAGACATTATCATCAGACAACATATAGATAATACAATTAAAACATAATGGGAGACTGGATCAGTTGCTATAGTTAAAGTGATTTATAATACATGTGTGAACTCTGTAGTATTTCTGTGAAAGCTTCTTTATTCCCTAGTAAGAAAAAGGGAAATTTCTTAATTCTTGCATAGCCTGATTTGTATTAACCATCATGATAAATATACATACTCATTTCTCAACAATTATGTTTATGCATCTTTCCATCAATGTATCCAGTCAGAATTATCAAATATTTTATTTAAAAAATGGCATTACTCTATCTTGAAAAACAAAATTTTTGGTGTAATATTTATTAATATCTAATTTTCAAATTCTTTAGTTAAGGAGGGTGGGAGACTACACAGAGAGAAGAAAAAATTATGCCTGTTAACTAACGAAACACTTCAAGTCCTAATATTGATGGCAATACTTAACAGCTAATATTAATCACAAAGGATAACATTTCAGACTTACCCAGAAGTATTACAGCTCCAATCCAAAATTGAATACGAAGTAAGTCTCGCCACTGTAGTGCAGATAAAATCAGCCATGCAATAGCGTATATGACATACAAGCCACACATTATACCATAAAACTAAAACATAAAACAAATTTTAGGCGTGGAAAGTATTTTTAGACATAATTCAGAAATGATTTTTCCTAAAACAATGCATTCTAAGCAAAACTGTTAAAAAATAGTAACGGATCTTTATTATAAATTTATAAAATTTCAAAATAACTAAAAATATTTCAGCCTTCTCAATCATAAACTCTGACCATCCTCACACTGATAACATTCAGAACTTAATGTAGGGGTCTTCAATCCATGGCCTGCAGCCCACAAGTGGCCCAATGAAGACATTTTAGTGGCCCCCACATTTGCATTTGAAGAAAAATTGAAGAATTTTAAGAAATTTTGATTTCAAGAAAAATTGCCTTGTCTGCTTTTTGTCATAAATTCTTTTTTTTTCTTTTATTCTTCATATTTAAAACATTTTAATGACATGCGTGACATTATTTGAGATAAAATTTTCTGAAAATGACGAATTTTTCAGAAATTTCACTTTATCTTATGTAATTTAAGGAATAAAAAAATTGACTACGTACAAAATCTTAATTCCACAAAAAGAGTAGATTCTTATCTCTAACAGGTTTGCAACAAATGTCAGTATTTCATCAATACCTCGCCAAAGGTGACTTTGAGCGTGCCGCTACTATAGAGGGGAGGGGGAATAAATTAACAGAATTCCATTTCTCCTAATGTTGCAATCACATGTCAAAGGGAACAATGATCATAAACATCCTGTTTGATTTGGTGACAAGCAGATTTCAAGCTAGATTACTCACGCTCATTCCACATTCTAAAATTCAGAAGCATTTATGGTCTTTGAATGAGTATACAATCACAAGCCATGATAACAAAAAACGAAAAGTTGAAGGAAAAGTGCGATGTTTTCAAGAAAAGTGGTCAAATCGTTATTTTATTTATTTTTTTTTTTGTTGTACATAAGGGTAAGGCAGTTTGCCTTATTTGCAATGACAGTGTAGCTGTGTTGAAGGAATACAACATTAAGAGACATTATGATACTAAGCACAGTGAGAATTATTCTGCATTGCAAGGTCATTTTTGAAGTGATAAGGCAAGTGAATTAAAATCAAAACAAAATTTTCAGCAGTCTTTCTTCACCACAGTGAATAAAGAATCTGAAAATAGTGTTCGTGTTAATTACATGATAGCAGAAAAAATTGCTAAGTGTGGAAAGCCCTTTGCTGAAGGAAAATTTGTAAAAGAATGTCTTCAGAACACAGTTGATGTGCTTTGTCCATCACAAGCTCAAGCATATTGAATATTAGTTTATCTGGTGTGACAGTAGTGAGACGCATAGAGCATCCTGCAACAGATATATTCAGTAAATTTAAATACAAATGCAAAAATTTTGGAGTTTTATTCTGTAGCGATGGATGAATCAACAGATGCAACAGATACTGCACAAGTAGCCCTTTTTATTCATGGCACTGATACTGACTACACAATTATAGAGGAATTAGCCAGTGTCATTGCACTTAAAGGTACAACACGAGGAACAGATTTGTATTCGAATGTGACCCAAATTTTGGATAAATGTGAATTAGACTTCAGTAATATATCTGCTATAACTATGGGAGGTGCTATATCTACGATTGGAGAGAAAATAGGAGTAAGAACATTATTCAAATTTGATGTGAAGGCAAGTGGAAGTAATACTTTGGTAACTTTCCACTGCATCATCCACAAAGAAAATTTGTGCAAGAAGTCCTTCTCAAACTTTGAACATGAATGTTGTTGTAAAAGGTGGTTAATTTCATTCAGTCTAAAGGACTTAATCACAGGCAATTTCAACAGTTCTTGAGTGATATGGAAGCTGAATATGGTGATGTTGTGTATCACACGGTGACAATACTTTCTGAAACTTAAATTATTAATAACTTAATTTGTAATCAGCAGAGTTCATAGAAACAGTGGAAGTGCAGGTGTTAAGACTTTGATTAATATAAAATTAACAATATATGGACAGAAAATTTTACCTTCTTGAATTTTTAAAATTATTTTACAAGATGAACTTGAAGAAATTACAACAGCAAATGTAGCAGAAATAATAATAATGTGACAATTAATATTACAGTACAGTCAAAAAACTTTAATTCGGACTCGTCGGAACTTCGATGATTTCGGATTATCGTTTTTTCCGGATTATAGAGCATCAGTTTCAATCTGGTAAGATGGCATGCAGAAATTATAAAATTAAAACTATGAAACCGTAATTTCTGAGATAAAGAGCAATTACAATCTAAAGGGTATCAAAATTTACACACACACACACAAAAAAAAGCTTAATATATATTTTTTACTTTATTAAACATTTCTTTCAACGTGCGCGTTCGTAAAGCGTACATTACGCATAGTCGAAATTAGAAAATTGCAACCAGAAAACTATTTGATGTATATTTGTGATATTTATAATGACGAGGAATTTTATTTAAATCATATCAAAGACGGTGTACATCAAGATGAAATACTTACTATATTTAGTAAGGAATTATAAGCCGAATAAAATAAAAACATCTGCTCTGAAGATAAGGATAGTGCTGACAGATCAACTTCCAGTTCATTGCGCACCGCAATGTGACAATTTTAAATGAGTAACAGGCAAAATGACAGCATCACGTGCAAAGCAAGTAAAATGAACTTTTCTATTATAAAAAGAATGCATCAAAATGTTTTATTTTTTTCCTCTGTATTGTCTTATCTTTATCTGTTTTCAGATACATTGTGTAAAAACATTTGGTAATTGTAAAATTATTATAATAACTTAAAGAAATATCAAAACTGCTAAATTTTTCGGCTACTCCCTGCTGCAGGTCTCGCAACCCACAGTTCAAGAAATGCTGTGCTAGAGCATGTAAAATTACTGCAACTTTAGCACATAAAATCACTTCACAAATTTACGTAGTATGTGATCACTACTTGGCAGAAGTAGCTTCTGACGGAGAAATAAAACCTATTTTCCTCTTCCACTGAAAGTTGTCCCACTATTAGACATAGTGGCAGCCCATATTACAAATTCTTCAGCTCCCTCCTGATTTTCTATTTTAACATAAATTGCATGATCTATGTTAAAATAGAAAAGGTTGGTTTGACAAACTTTGATAAAATTTCTTTAAACAGATCTCTAATCATTGATCGTAAAACGTAATTTAATTGAATTTTGCAATTCTACAAAAAAAGGAAAAAGCTTTGTTAAGGTTCAAAGACAAAAACATAAACATTCGTTCTTCACAAGATAAACTTACAGTAATCAGAAAATGTTTCAATTGTCAAGCATTTTTAGTCCAAAGGGACTATTGTTCCTGAAGGACTATTGTTTTCCTTTTGCGACTTTGCATTGAAAACTTTAAAAAGCTGTTTCACTATTCAAATTGTTGCCACCAAATACTATTGCACTGTATTATATTTGAAGAAATTAAATAATGAAGAATCTGCATAAATGTATGTTTTTCGCATTGTGATAAAACCTAGAGCCATCCAATTTTGAATAATGTAATCCTATTGCAAATATGGGCATCTGAAAGATCAAATTTGAAATTTGTTTCATTATCGATTTCATATTTTGTAAAACCTTAATGAATTTTTTATTAACAAACTCAGCGATTTAAAAGCGAGCAATGACAACACTCTACAGGGGGGGGGGAGAACCTTTTTATCTCCAGTGCGCGGAACTCTGTAATGGAATTACTAAAGATATGCTCATCTTAAAATTATTTTGAGACATTGCTGTTGAACTGAATTTTATGGTTTAAGTGCAAAAAACATGATATTTAATAAATAAAGGTAACACATAAAACTTATCACCTGCTTATGTTTCGCAGCATTATTTTCAGAACTGCCTATTAAATTGCTCGGAGGTACATAAATTATTTTTCTCAAACCTATGTTTAACAGTGTGGAAGTTGTAAATATATCTCCATTTACTTTAGGTATTTGATAACTTTCCGACCTTTTTACCTTAATTCTAGAAGCGTTTTCTTCTTCTTTAAAAAATGTAAGAAGTGTAAGAAGATAAATATTTCTATAAAGGTAATCAGTACATACATACATTTTATTTATTTATTTATTTTTTATATAATTTCAGTATTATGCAGCTGTTGAAATTTTTTCAATTTTTTCTTCCTTTTAGAACTCTTTTCAGGATCATAATAAATATCAATGTGTTCATTCACATTTATTGGTAAAGAAGGTGCCGTTTTTTCAACTGCTAAATGTAAGAGATGACAGGTGCACCTCATAATTTGAAAATCTGGATTATTTAAATTTTTTTTAAGATTCCTGCAACACCAATCTTGAAGCCTACCGTTACTGGTGCAATGTTGGCAGTAAGTGCTAAGCAATTATTCAGAGGAATTAATGAAGATTTAATAATTAGCTGAGCGATATTAAAGCCCGTCCAACATCCTTCTACAATGAGAAATAACAATCAATTTCTGAAGGATTATAAAAAGAAACAATTGGATACAGTTTTGCACTAGTTATTTTTGCCTTTAACCATACAGAGGTAGAATGGAGATATTTTAACACATTAGCTGCTGTTGTGTTGACGCAACAGTCAAAATAAATTCGTATAACTACCTAAGATATTTTACACCAGCAGATGATTTTGTGTCTGGAATATCATGAAGATTATTTCTGTAAAAAAATATTTGCCTTCAACAATCATTTTGTTTATAATAATTAATCTCATACTTTAAGCAACACTTTCAACCGGGTATTTTTGCCGAAATTACTATTTAACGAAAGAATTGCCGTCTTTACGAGTTATCTATTTTTCATCAAGGTCACCGCTTATCAGAACATTACATCAATCAGATGTTTATATTTGCGTTGGGAAGGAAAGAAAATCAGGTATTGTGCTGGCACAACGTCAGCAGGAAATGGGTAATTGCCTTTTTTACGCATTCATTTTGATGTTCTGGTTCATGTTCTGGCTGCTTTAAAATGCATAGAATGAGGTATCTTACATTAGAAGAAGCCCTTCAAAGATTTTTTTATGAAGAAACAGA